CGGTTGACGTTAAGACAATGAAATTCCAGCTCCTCAGGCACTCACCGTATCTCTAAAAATAAAAGGACGTGAAAATACAGAAAAAACGTGTCTATGAAAACTGTTGTATATTTAACAGTGCCCCGCCGCGGTGGTCTAGTGGCTAAGGTACTCGGCTGCTAACCCGCAGGTCGCGGGTTCGAATCCCGGCTGCGGCGGCTGCATTTCCGATTTAGGCGGAAATGTTGTAGGCCCGTGTGCTCAGATTTGGGTGCACGTTAAAGGAACCCCAGGTGGTCGAAATTTCCGGAGCCCTCCACTACGGCGTCTCTCATAATCATATGATTGTTTTGGGACGGTAAACCCCACATATAAATCAACAGTTAACAGTGAAGTTGTTTTTTATTAGTATGATTTTGCAGTAGACACTGTCATATGCCCGCCAAGCAGTGAAAATACAAACGTTTTATCGCGAAAAAACAGAATAGGCAAAGTGGCTGTTGAACAGCATTTGCATTGAATTATAGCTTCCCTCTCGTATTCTTCGTCACCGTCGCCCGTTTCTCTATTCGTTACTTCTGGTTGTTGACTTTGTTTTCCTACCCACAATTTTTCTTTCTTTTCCCTAGAGATCATTTTATTACCCCTATTCCTCTCCCTCTTTTTCACTTTAGCGGCCACTGATGTTACCGATTCGGGGGGCCACGTTTTACGACACCTACATATACGAGTGCTATGAACGGAGGAAGAAAAGGGAAAACAAGGTTGTGTGTACACACTCGCGTAAAGAAAAAACAAAAGGCACCTCGCCATTTTGCCTAAAGAACAGGGGACGCCGGTCGTCATGATCCGACGGCGCACGTATTACGCGGTGCTGCCGCGTCTTTTTTTTACGACTGGCGCGTGAGTGGCCCATCCCGGCGTGCGTGTGCATTAAGTTGCGCGAGCAAACGCTCTGTCGCCACCGTGGGCTTCTTTTTCGACGGACCGTTTACAGCCGCTGCGGTTTGACGTCAACCCAGGCGAAGCTACTGTTTTCACACATACCACACCTCTTTCGTTTCTTTTGTTTCGTTTTTGGGTTTCCTCTGCGCGCCCTTATGCAGGCAGAGTGCTGGCAACTTAAGCACGCGTGAATTGAAATGTAAATTGACCTTTATTCGAGCGCTGTCAGGCATCCGTGCGCGTCCTTTAGTATGTCGCCCATGTGTAAAAAACCTGCTATAGTGTGTGCGTGAGGCAACGACGGAAGTCGGCCTCAACTTCCCAAGCAGGATGCCTCCTGTGCGCTTTTTTGTGTGATACACTAAAGCGATAGCCTTAGTGTAGCAACGGGCTTCTGTATACAAAATGCCGCACGGCTGCGTCCGTGTATAGGCAGCGAGCTTGTGTGCTTGGCGCAAGCCCGCAATATTGGGAGTGTAATGAGTTCACTGCCGTGGTCTCAGAGCAAGCACTACGTTATCGGAACACAAGGCAGCTGCAGTGTAATCTGGGAGGCATGTCTCAAAGACTGCGAGGAGGCGCTGAGGATCTTTGTTCGAAACTATATATATATATATATATATATATATATATATATATATATATATATATATATATATATATATATATATATATATATATATATATAGGGATATCGCACAACGGGAGCGTTGTCAACAAGGATAAATATATTTATTATATATATATAACTCATTATATTTATAACTAATCCCCTGATGAAGGGAGGACCCCTCCCGAAACTGTTGGGAAATAAATATATTTATCCTTGTTGACAACGCTCCCGTTGTGCCATTTCCCATACCTTCACAAAGACTAACTGGCCCATTGAATTATTACTCCCACTATATATATATATATATATATATATATATATATATATATATATATATATATATATATATATATATATATATAGGTCGCAGGTTCGGATCCTGCCCACGGCACGTTATCTTTTCACCCACTTTTCTTCATATTTAGATTACAATTTGGTCTATAATATCTTCCCCTTTACTTTCCTTGGCATTATTGTCTGTTAGTAGATCTCATTAATAAAAACATGGAAAAACGAGCCGTTAGGTATTTACTTCTTTATATATATATATATATATATATATATATATATATATATATATATATATATATATATATATATAGTTATAAACTTCGAGAATAGTGCAGTATAGGAAACAAAACAATAAAATATTTATTTAATCCTAACAGTTTCGGCTGGTGGACCAGCCTTCTTCGGAGGATGTAAGTGAAATGATACAAGTTCCCGTAGCAGAGGGTCACCCTCACAGTTTAAAGACCCTCCAAAAAAAGAGAGAGAGAAAAAAAGAGAGAGAGAAAAAGACAAGCGGGCGAACGAGGTAGCAACAGACAACAAGAAGCAGAAGAAGGAGAGGAACTAGAAAGGAGCGACGGAGAGCCGCCGGAAACGAGCGGGTAATTCTGGCATTGTTGCAGCGTATAGGTAAGACGCGCCGCCAGCGGAGGCGACCAAGAAAAACGGAAAAATGTGGAACATGTTGCCGCTTTACTCGCATCCCACACATGGATCGAGTTTAAGTTCACGTGGTTCGGCGGCTGGCCCGTGGCATCGGGCCACACACACACACACACAAGAAGCATACGACCCGCTCCAGCTTTCGGAATATAATGGCCACGTTGGAAAGCTAATGTGCCCTCTCCCCCTCCCTCCACCTGCCCTCTCTTGCAGAAAGATGTACAACCAGTCATACTGAAAATAAATAAATGGGTATTCTTGTAAAGGATGAAAATATATAAAAATAAATAATACTAAAAAGTACTCAGAAAGGAAAATAAAGTCTAATAATACTAACACAATCCGTTTGGTTCACGTAGCATCGAATTCGTTAAGTTTCGCTATATTGACCAACTTGCGTGTGCGACTTCACGTATTTATAAATAAATTAATTGAGTAATTCAATTTCTGTGTTTCACGAAACGTCGCGGAGACACGTCAGTCGCCCAGGGCTCTCGTTGATTCCGTGGGTAAGTGATCTGAATTTCTTTATAAAGTATGACTCCCGCTGTTCGCGCTCCCGTGTGTTCTGGAAGCCGGATTGTAGGAGTATGACACTTACGCGTCTCCAAACAAAGCAACACAAGACAGGACACCACATAGAGAAATCGACGCATAAAATTGTGTTACTTGTCTTTTATTATTTGCACTTCAATAGAACTTCAATAAAAAAATTTAAAATTTATTGTGTCCTCATCAACCTTCTGAAGAAAACTGCTGGTGGAAAAGAGGTGTCTTTGGAAAAGTTTTATACTTGTAATATTTGTGCGCCTGATAAAAATTTTATAGTTATGAGTTTTCATATAATATACTGTTATGAGCTCACTAATTTGCGAATTTTCATTATTATCAAATTCAAATATCAATCGTTTCTTTCTTCCGCACTTCGCCTATTCCTATATATATATATATATATATATATATATATATATATATATATATATATATCAACTTAATAACCGGAGTGTACCACTACAGCGTGCCATAGAAGAGTAAGCATCTGTGAAGAGTAGGAGTTTGGCCCCTCTCTGTCATCTGTATATGCGTCAATGTGTTCGTCGCACTATAGATATGCTTTGTGCTGGTTGCTTTATAATTGCGACTGGAAAAACAGCGCGATATCGGCAGGACGAAAAGAGGACGCAAAAAGCACCCCGATTTGTGTACTTCTACTGTAATGACGTTTTCTTTAGCTGTTTTTCTTCTCGTAATGATTTGTTCACGTCGAATAACGATGTTTTGCGACGTACTCTAGGATGAAACGAGCACTTCTAAGCAGTTATAAATCAGGGACCGAATGCACAAAACTGCTTTTTTGGATGTGCGTTTCCCCACTCCATTGTTCGCCAATGTAATGTGCCGCATCGTCCTTGAATGATATATTATTAAATGCGAAGCATTTCATAGTGGACTTCGGTGACTTTGAACGTGTCTATCTACCTATCTATCTATCTAGCCGCTTACGTTTGGGTGCTCTCATTTAACTTGGCGTGAACCAAAATTGGCATGGGAGGGTAAGATGGTTTGATGAATATTGCGCGCTGGTCAAGACATGAATGACGTCACAATTCCATCGCGTGCGTCGTATAACACTTCCCGCCAGACAGTGGCACATACTCATGGGTGGGTATGTGCCGCTGGTAAGCGGGTATGTGCCACAGGTGGTTGACGTTTAGTATCCACCCAGGAACAACGAGAACACACATGGGCAATTTTGACGCGTGAGCGTTAAGCAATACCCGACATCGGTAGCGTCGATCCAACGAAGCCATAAAATAAATGTCCGTGTTAAGAAAAACCGGACATAAGCAGCGTTGGCCACCCGACGAATGCAAATAATAAATTTCAGTGTTTCAGCAGGAATCGATCCCAAGTATATTGCGTGGCAGTCAAGCATTCTACCACAGAGCTACGCTAGGTTTCGGAACTACTTTTCGAATAGACGCTAACCTTCGTGAAAAGTCAATATGGGTTGCAGTGCTGCTTATACCCAATTTTATAAAGATTACATATGTACTCCTTTGATACAGCCGTCACGTCGGGTTAACGTGAATTGTGGTGAGGTGCCATGCGCTGAAATTGGTTTATGTAGTAGTGTCAAGGGCCAGCATCTTCGCGAGCATCAGTGCTTCATATCAGCTACTGGGGCTGCTAAAACAATTACCAGCTCATATCGTTGCGCAAGTTTGAAACAGGTTATATAAACATCTGCAACTCTTCAACATATGTCGCTGCGTGAAGCATTTGTACTTATATTTAGCGTCATTTTATGACGTCTCACTCGATTAAAAAAAAAGATGCAACACGGCCACTTTCCCTCCGCGTGCTTCGCATAAAGTTGATTCCCAGATACGTGGGATCCGCCGAATTTTTCAAGAAAGTCTAGCGTGAGGCGTCTTTGTGAATACATGCCTTGGTCATAGGTAAATGATGATGATGAAATCAGTTTGTTTCTCCTTTTGTGTCACAGGTTCGATGAGAGACCCCTCCGTGGGAAGCACCCTGCAGCCGTCGGCCAACGAGAAAAGACTTTCGCGGAGAATCTTTGTGAAGGAACAGCGAGCGGGCGTGCCGCTTGGCCCCTGTCCAAGGGGGCCGTAGCGGCGTCCCTGCAAGACACAAGCCGTCGCCCTGGTTGCGGCCGCCATGAAGAGGGACGAGGACTCCGAGTCCGCGTCCCTGGTCGGCCGCGAGAACCCGGGCTCGTACACCGAGGATGCCAGACCCTCACCGGCCATCCGGGAGACCGACTACGTCGACACCGATGTGCCGCTCCTGTCGCAGTTCCACGAGGATGCCATCGCTCAGGTGAGAACCACCACTCATCGTTTGCTATGAGAACTAGTGGTGTATGACGGGCCTGCGAAGAAGACGTGGTCTCCCGGACTCGACGCCCTGAAAAGTACGCAAATAGAAGGAAGAAAAAAGTAGGGTTGGAGAAAAAAAAAGCGTGCAAGTTTGACCAGACGATATCTCGCATTGAAGAGATTACTTAATCTGAACAGCAACCTACTAGGACTTTATACAAAAAATTAACCTACAATGACGATTCACTTACATTTCATTTCATTTCATTTCATTTATTTATACTGTTAGCCCAGAAGTGGGCCGTTACAGGGTGGAAGTACAAACAATTATTTGCAAAAAAGAAGTACCGTACAGGTCTCGAGATAATTTCTCGGTATTATTGTGACCAGCAACTCGAAGTTATACATAACATACATAAATGGAACACACATGCGATGCAATACATACGCGCAGAACAGCACATGACGCATTTGAGGCGGCACTTTTGCACCGCGCTGAAGATTTGAAAGACAACTACTGCAGAATCATGCAACCAACAAAAAGTACACACACACGCCAAAAAAAAAAAAAAAAAACATATGTCACTGTTATTCGGAAAATAAACGTTTTAGATTCTGTTCAAATGATGTAAGCGAGGAACAACCAATTATAGACTCTGGCAGCATATTCCAATCTTCAATAGCACGTGGAAAGTAACTGAACTTAAAGCAATCGTTACGTGGGACTAGGGGTGGTATATACATATTATGGCGATGTCTGGAGTGTTCTTGCGTGTTGACCTGGAAGTAATCTGAATAGTTTAGTTTAAAATGATTATGAATTAACTGGAAGAGGAATTTCAGACGCTCAATCCTCGTCCTAAGTTCAGGACTCTCCAGTCCAGCTTTTTTTACAGAGTTCAGTAGGAGAATGATGTCGGCGATATTTATTAAAAATAAATCTCGCACCAAGTCGCTGTATTTTTGTTATTTTATTTACAGGCTGGGGAAGGCCTATTCCAGTGGCTGGTATTCCTGGTCTGCGGACTGGCGTTGGCCGCGGACTCGATTGAGATCATGGTCATCGCCTACGTGCTCCCGTCGGCCGAACGCGAGCTCTGTATGGACGACGCACGCAAAGGGTGGCTCGGTACGCATTCCCTGGGGCTTCTTTGTGCCATCTTTCTATCGTCATGGTGTCGCACGTCAACTGAACTACGTGAATTAATCATGAAGTAGTATTGCCAAAACGACGGTACGGGCACGAGAAGAGACTGCTGGGACACTCGATTCGCTTTCACGCGGTGGTCTCTTCTTCTGCATCTGCGTCGTCATTTGCGCAATACGCTTTCATGATGCATAGAAAACTTGTCCGAACTGTGACCTAAATTAGATCATTGAATTAATCATTACAGCTGAGTATGACTACGTCTACGTACTATCTCATTGCACATAACATGTAAAACGTGCGCAGAACCTGCGGACTAGCATTGCTATACGGCGTCATGCGTAAAAGCCACAGAAAAAACAACAACAATTTCTTATCAAAATTATCTCGATGTGCGTTTGAAACCTTGCTGGAATCGTTTTTATTTGTTTCTACTCGCATAGCATGGAAGACAGTGGAAGTGGAATCACTTTTAGTTGGGCCAGGCTCAAATGCTGGCTATATCCGGACCATCTCAATTCCATGGGATGCCATACTTCCCTTTGTCACGTATGCATATAATACGTCAGTTCAACGAGCCACAGGCTATTCTCCATTTTTTCTAAAAGTATACAGACGCCAACCGACATCACCACTCGACGTTTCGTTGTTTTCTGGCCCCGTCAACGCTTCACCATTCGTTTTCGACCAGTTTCTGTACCGTGTTGCTCAATGCCATCGTCTTGCCCGTGTAAACACCGAAACTAGTCAAGAAGATCGCAAACATCGTTACGATGCCACTCATCGCGTTGTTCTCTACAGCCCTGGCGACGATGTACTTCTTGGACTCCTGCGCGAACGCCTGGCTTATGCGAGAAGCTTGAGTCGCGCTATCTTGGCCCCTATAAAGTTGTCGATCAGACCTCACCGGTGAACTAGCGTATCACACCTGTTCATGCCCCCACTGACCAACGCTGCCGCGGGACAGAGATTGTGCACGTTTCGCGTCTCAAGCCCTATCGTATGCGTTCCACAGCGTAATTCGTGGCCAGGCTGGCTACTTCCGTCGACGGGGGAAATTAGTGTGAGAATTCATTGGACGTCATTTTCCTCATCTGTCAATAACCATCATCAATCTTCGCATCGTCCTTCTTCATCATCGGCGCCATCTTGCTGTTGCTTGATATTGATTATAGCGTACAGAGCGGAAAATAACCATTTGCCTGCCCGGCGCCCACTTCAAATCGAGGAGGTGTCCTCGCCGAAAAAAAAAACATCCTGCCTACGCACCTGCTTTGAACTCTAGACAAGCACCTCCAGAACAAGACACCAATATCTTTTTAAACACACACACACACACACACACGCGCGCGCGCACGCACGCACGCGCACACGCGCGCACGCACCCACGCACACACGCACCCACGCACCCACGCGCACACGCACACGCACACGCACACACACACACACGCACACACACACACAAGCCACGCGTCTAGTTTTATAACCATCACACTTTCTGGTTTCGATCGCAAGCTGATGACGTACCACTGATAAATAAGCTCTAATTAAAAATGAAAAAAAAAACGTGTGCATTATCGAACTATCGCACATCACATCTATATTTCTCCTTTTATCGTAGCCGGCATAATCGAGGGTCAGTGAGCCATTTCCGCGCTGAATCTTTGTCCACTTGTATACACCAGAACGAAACCGAAACTATATTTTGTTCGGCTTCTCTGTTATAGAGTAAAACGCTACTTTCTCTTCTTTCCTCTCCCCCGGTGTAGAGTAGCAGGCTAGAGCAAGCTATCGCTCAGGCCGACCTCTCCGTCTTTCTGTAAGTAAACCTATCTCTCTCTCTTGTTCCGTCGTCGTACCACAGGGTCGATGCCTCTACTGATACTTCGGTTCCTCCAAACACCAGATTCGGAAAGATGAAAACAAAAAAAAAGTAGCAGCTCGAAGCAGGAGCACGTCCTGCTGCCATTCCATAAATCTGCGCGAGCCAAAAAACATTCCCAGTGCCACACCCAAGCCTCAAGAGCTCGTTCGTCCTAAGCCTTCTTCCTAAACTTCTCGCTTCCTTTTTTCACGAATTCAGCTCGCACGTTCGCCTTCCTAAACGATCGGCCAGCGTCTATAAACAGCACCGGACGGAAACGAGGGATGTCCGTCTTCATTTTCTTTTTTTTTTTGTGCCATACTTTTTGTTTGTTCAGCCACGCCTACTTTGTGTTGCTAGTTTTCCTTCGAAGAGACACTTTCGCATCAACCTTCATTTTCTTATCTTTTTTGGCTCCACGTAGCTTTATTACAGCGCACGTGAGAGCCGCGCAGTCATACGCGTTTTTTTTTTTTCTTGCTTCCCGAGCAGGGGGTGATTTACGCGTGACTGCGCCGGTGATTGCGGGTTTTCTATCCGCGATCAGCGGACCGTCTTTCATATTTGCCGCTAAAAACAAAATCCCACTCCGTTTCCCAAATGCCCGTTCAGAGCACCTACCTTCATACACACGCACGTACCTTGTTTTTGCTTTTTCCCTTTCGTATGATAATTCATTGCTCGGCTCTTGTTTGATGGATGCGACGAGACCAACTTTACCGCTGATTACGGCTGCTCCAATATGAGCCCCTGGGAAGGCTCTCCCCGGTGAAATGGGAGTAGAAAAGGATGAGGCCTTGCAAAGGGGAAGGGGGGGGGGGGGAGTCCTTGCGTGCCATAATTACACCGGCCGGTCCGCCGGCCACTCGTTGCGCAGCAACAGCACATGCTAGCTCGACTGTAATCTTTCGTTCTCACCAAAGGGTGGGCCCGGATTTTTTTTTTCTTTTTTTTTTTTTACCGTTAGCTCGATCGCGGGCTCCTGCACACAGTCACCGCGAAGCGCCATCTTTCTGGACGGAACCACGATACCGTTATTCCTTTCTTGCATCCCTCGCATCTGGTAGCTTCCTTGAACCCGATTTTCTCTTCCACGCTTCTCTGATCTTGTACTTGCCGAGTTTGAGTCCTAAGCTCAACGCCTTCATGTCATCGAATACTACTCCGAAGATACCCTGTTCATTCTGCAGCTTTCCGATTGCTTCAGCCATTTCGGAGGGTCATTGCGACTTTTGGGTCGAATGCTCTTCACCCTTCTCTCTCTCACGTTTGTATTTGTACTACCTGCTTCTGCATTTCATCGGCGTAGTTGTTATTGATAGTCGTTGCAAAAAACGTTTAATCAGTGCACATCATCCGCAAAAAAAAAAAAAGAAATGCCCGGAAAAGCCTCATTGATGGCTATATTCGCATCAGATATATTTTTTTACGTATCACTCAGTTCTTGGATTACTTATTCGATGCAGATATATTTCCGGCCTATTTATCTAACAGCCCTCTTCACCCTCTCCCCGGTGCCGTACCTTGTTTCGCTACACAACTTCATTACTGACGACCACTCCCGTTTCCCGGGCTTCGTTCTTTTCATATTCGCTCCTACTCCGGTCCTTATCTAGCCTAAGTCTTTTCTTATAATTTCTTTCCCTGCAACTCGGAGGCTCGGACGCGATTGCGCTTTTCCTAATCCCAGCTTAACATACATGCCAAGGTCTTCTTCTGCTGCTGTCACAGTCAAGCACCGGGAAGGTTTCCAACTTTTCCGTGGAGGCAGAGCGTTAGTTTTTTGTTCAACCGTTTTTCGGAACGTCAGAGCAGGGCAGTATAAGTACGCTTGTTATTCTACGTATTATCTACCTTATCTCTCTCTCTCGCTTGCTGGCTCTTTACCTTTTATTGCGATAGCAATCATATGGACACTCTCGGCTGAGTTTTGCCCCTGGCATCGGCGTCTCTCACCGTATATGTATATGTATTTATATACGTGAAAACGCAAGAAAGAAAAATCATCCAGAAAAAGACTCCGGCGCGCGGAATTTATTTTAAGACCTCTGAAACGTGAGTGCGAGGCGATAACCATTGAGCCATGGAGAGGCACGTTCTTCAACCTTCAAACGGCAAGCTATTTACATCTACCACTTACCGCTGTTAACGGGCATCTCGGGGGCGGGGAGGAACTAATGTGTTTTCAGCATTACCAGCAAGATGGCGCAATGAGCGCTTGTCGCCACATCTTCACGACGCGATGGTGCGCGCTCTCATCTCCCACGCTTACTTTGTCCCACGGGGAGGCAGGGGTCGGATGCTTGCTCGCGTGCCCTTATCTCGCAATGGGAAGGATTGTACATATTGGTTGGCCTTGGGATATCACTGGAATAATTATGTTGTAGTTACCGGGCGCACAGAGGTAACTGCAATCGTTACGCAGTCTCCGTTTGCGAGAAGGGCGTGCTTTACAGACACAGCGAAGTAACAACTGAAACACTTATTCGCGTTCATCTGTACCTGGGAGTGCGTTTTGTGCGTAATTTGTGCGTGAGAAACGCGGGACAGGTTACGATCTGCTCGCCATTCAGCGCGCGACCTTCCAGCTTGTTGCTATCGCATTCATTCATTCGCCGTTGTGGCAAAACTGTGACCTTTTTATCTAGTGACCATATCGTTGTTGATGGATGGTCACGAGGGAATAGAAGGAAGGTGCATGTTGTCATTCGCTCGCACACAGACGTAGAGACCCTCATTCACTCACTCACTCGCTCACTCACTGACACGCACACTCACTCACTCGCACGCGAGCCTCTAAAGTTTACTCAAAGCTTAATGGTGCGCTATTTGGCACACAACTGTGAGGACGAAGCTGAGTAAGTGGAGAGTGAAGCTCGTTTCCTTTGTTTGGCCCCTTTTTTTGGTGGGGGTGGGGGAGGTTTCTGTGTACATTTGGAGCTTTAGAGTCAAGTTCCAAATGTGCGAGCTTATTTTCCTTCTCTCTCGCACCTTTGCAGCTACACGTGCATCGAGGCTCGCTAATAAGTTCCTTCTGAACCATTTCGCAAGCGTCGCTTATCGCAAGTGCACTCTTGTGTCTCAAGAACTCATTCAAGCGTTCACGCAAGCGTTTGTCGTGACATACTCGCTCGATTTCTCGAGGGCTGCTTAAAATGTACGTCGTAAACTTCACTTGAGCTTGCCTGTTTCCTCATCTTCCGGCGTTCACTCCTGCGTGAAATTATGGCACTTTTTTTCTTATTTTTATTGATATTTAGGAGACGCATCGGGCACAGTGAAGATAACGCGGCGGTACTTAGCTCCTTCAGGCATCGCAGCTTGCTCACCGTTTGTTGACGCTTTTCGTTTTCTAAATCCGGTGCCTTACCTGATGTGGTCGCAGTCAAGATTCCCCGCTGGTCATTTGTAATATTCTGTTTGTTGTGCCATGTTATTTTCGAATCCGATTCTGGAAGTCGTATATTTTTAGATATATGTGTATGTGCTATGGGTAGACGACATACGCAAACATTGCTGCTCAAGTGTGTCCATGCGTGTGTGCGTGCGTGCGCGTGTGTGTGTGTGTGTGTGTGTGTGTGTGTGTGTGTGTGTGTGTGTGTGTGTGTGTGTGTGTGTGTGTGTGTGTGTGTGTGTGTGTGTGTGTGTGTGTGTGTGTGTGTGTGTGTGTGTGTGTGTGTGTGTGTGTGTGTGTGTGTGTCAATTCATGCATCGTCAATTTGGAGCCCACAACACGTGTATCTCATTACTGCACTCGAATCACTTCAAAACCGTGCTACTAGATTCATTCATTCCTCATATGCCTATCACATTAGCGTGTCATCTTTAAAAGAAGGAATTGGCCTGTCCCCTCTATCTTGCCGCCGCCGCATTGCCACCCTTTGCTTGTTTCATAAACTTTTTCACAATCCACTTGCAATCGAACCTTACATTTCCCCCCCATTTCGCAGGTCATATCGCATTGGCCATGTCTTTCAAGTTGCCCGTCAACGTTCCCGCACCGTTACTTTTGCTGCCTCATTTTTTCTTCGTGCAGCAAAAGACTGGAATGACCTCCCCCACCATATTGCAGCAATCACCTGTCCATCAACATTTATGCATAGCGTCACAAGCCATTTTTCAAGCTAATTCATGGCTTTTTTGTACGTTTTTTGTAACCCCACCCCTTATGTAATATACCCCTGGGGACCTTTAAGGTAATAAATTGAAATGAAATGAAAAAAGTGTGTGTGTGTGTGTGTGTGTGTGTGTGTGTGTGTGTGTGTGTGTGTGTGTGTGTGTGTGTGTGTGTGTGTGTGTGTGTGTGTGTGTGTGTGTGTGTGTGTGTGTGTGTGTTTGCGCGCGCTCAGTTGCTTGAAAAGAGTAAGTACTGCATGCCACCATATACATTTTTCGTCTGGTCCCATTGTTTACCGTATCAGAATTTTTCATGACAATTGCAATTTGTTAAACCAACCGCAATCGCGGCTTCACCGGTAACTCAACTGCATAGGAAGATGCGAGCACAACACGCACGCGAGTGTGGTACCTTTATGCTGAAATTCAGACCATTGAAGTAAATATAGAGTTCATATAGATTGAAATAAATAAGCGCAGGCTTAGAGGAACACTTCGTTCGGAAAAAAATGATCTCGTGTTTATCTTTCTTCTGACCTTTAAAATCCGACACACATGAATGTACACAAACACTTGCACGCCGGAATGAGCTTGGTGCACTCGCCTTGTTCGAGGACCATGAAGAACAGCTGTTGCCGCATTATGCGTTGTAACGTCTCCTCATGCAGCGTGCAACACAAAGCTGAAAAAAAGGCGCTTTCATTCAGCTGAACGTCCTCTCCTCTTGAAAGTTTGTCCGGAGGTTTTTATTGCGCATCCTTCCGTAAATGGTGCGGTCGTGGACATCGCCGTGCATCCCTTCTGTTCTCCTCTCTTTTTTCGAAGTCTCGCTTCATTCAGAAACCGTGAGCAATAACGGCTGCGTTCCATAATTAAGCTTCCTCATCCGGGTTCAGCTTGTTTAGCAAAATCTTTCAAGCATGACATCAAAGGTGATTCGCGTAACGTTGACTCGGAAAAACATCGGCACTCCCGCAGCGAACAATCACCGGCCCTCGGAACGAAGCTCGTGCGTTGTTGACTTTGCGCAGTGCCTCTGATAAGGTTCCTTTGGTTTTGTTATCAAGCAACACGGCAAAACAAGCAAGTCAGAAAATAAAAATTGCAAAAAATAGATAAGATAAATGAAATATATAATAGGAACGTGCGTTTCAGCTCATCCCCACGCGTTTCTTTGTGGACCGTTGCCCCCAGTGCCGGAACGCGAATGAAGTGTAGAGATTAAAAAAAGTACGGCCCCCGTTATGACTTCGCGGACATCCGAAATCGATAAAAGAGGACTGCTCAAGGGCCGAAGCCAGAAATATAGGGTGTCCGTAATTCTTATTGGGTGTCAAGCACCACCTTAGGGTCTTGGCTTGCCGTTGTGTCGCGTCGTTTTCACGGTCCGTTGTAAACGGTTATGCACCACGGAACTTGGGTATATCGTGCTATTCACCACCAGTTCACTAAATATTATCTAGAAAACAGTTAGCCCAAGAAATAGCTCATGGCGTATTAGGTTTCCATTGCATGAATCCGTCTCAAAATTGGTTTCGAATGCAGTGTTTTTTTGTGTGTGTGTGTGTGTGTGTGTGTGTGTGTGTGTGTGTGTGTGTGTGTGTGTGTGTGTGTGTGTGTGTGTGTGTGTGTGTGTGTGTGCAAGACATACTTCATAGACTGTTATGGTGTGTAACACGAAGATAACTTGTGGCAAAATCGTTGCTGTTGGGCAAAGATTGAAAGAAGAAGAATAAATTTAGACCACCTTCGCACTGCATGATGGGGTCAAGCCCGAAGAGAGAGCGGAGCTGGATGATATTCCTTGTTTTTCACTTTTTTTTCTCTTTATTTCGGCTCTTTCTTTTTGTTTCTTCTATCTCCTTTTGGTTTCTGTATCCTTGTATTCATGCCTTTCTCCCACTATCTATTTCTTTCTTGCATTGTTTCTATCTTTATTTTTCTTTCTTTCTTTTGTCTACCTCTTTCTACCTTTATTACCACTTTCTTTTTTCTGTCCAATTCTTTTTCTCTTTTTATTCGTTATTGTGTGTCCTTATTCTCCTTGGTTCCCTCTATTTTTTTATCTTTACTTTTCCTTTTCCACTTCTTTCGCGTGTTTCACGTGCTCCACTTCGCCGAGCAGAGTGTTTGTTTAACGCTCGCATCTGCTGCCTTCTGTGGTGGAGCTCGCGCTGTTCTTGCGGTGCATACCCACCTGAGGAGTTTTGCACGGTGGTGCACAACTTACCGAGAGCTCAAACAGCTTGGCCGTTAAAGAATTTAAGTGAACAGGTGTCTGCAACCATTCATGCCCTCATAACCTGCTCTTTCCTTAAATGTCATATCTCTTTTCTATTTCACCCTCGATTCTTTCTTTTTAGTGTAGGGCAGCAAAGCGAACGTGGAACATAGCAAACCGTTAGCTATCTCATTTTTGCTTTTTTCTTTGTCTCTTTCAGAATTGAAGAGCCAACCAGTCTAGGCTAAAACTTAATCACTCAGAACTGGCCAGTCAGCTGACCCGGTACAGTACTCGTGTCAGCTAAATCAATCAATCAATCAATCAATCAATCAATCAATCAATCAATCAATCAATGTTTCTTTATTAGCATCAGAAATATACATTGTGAGTAAGTATGCAGGGGGAGGTCCCAAGGTAGTAAACCGCAGGCGGGACCTCCTATGTTAATACAGAGAAAAAGCTAATACAAAGAAAGTTGGACAGACTTTTTGATTAATAAACCAGTCAACTGAAATCAAGCATTCCCCTGCGCAGGAGGCGTATCGTTTATCGGCATGATGATCGGCGGCCTGCTGTGGGGCAACCTGGCCGACAAGATGGGTCGTCGACGCACGTTGCTATCAGCACTGCTCACCAACGCGTTGTTCTCGGTCATCACCACATTTATGCCCACCTATGGACTCTTCACCGTCACCAGGCTCTGCTCGGGCATCGGGTGAGTCTCTCAAACATGTACAGTGGCACACCATATACCAGACCACATTTTATGGCTATTTGTCTGGGATTATCAAACGCGCTGTCGTTTGGACCACGTTGAAGCAGCTGGACCATTTTCAGATAAATGCGTCCTTCTATACCACGGTCCCTGTTGTCACGGGACAGGAGAATGATGCGGGTGTTGCTACTGTTTTAAAATCGACCAAACTCACTGGCATCGTTTCCTCCTTTTCATCTCCTGTCCTAGTGACGGGAATCAAAGTGGGTGCGCGTGAGGCTGACGTTCTTATCCTCCTTCTTCTCGTCATGGCGACGTGCTCAGACATTTTCGCATGCGTGTCAAATTTTTAAATATGTTATTCTCTTTTTTTTGTGCGGAACTCAAATGAGGCCACTCAATTCTGTTGCAATCAGGGACTGTATTTTTTTTCTATTCAGCAATACTGAATGTGCTGTTCTGCGCTTGATACAAAGAAGTTTACGAGATTTACTTATTCGGTGGTTTGTCAGTACATCATATAGACTACATCCAGGTGCAAACGTGATTGAAACGACACTAAGAACAAACATCGACACAGGCACAATGCACACACGACTCTGTTGTGTGTCAGATCAATGACGCTGCTGTCATGACAATAGTAGTGCTCAGCTTTGGGTACAGTATCGCACAACATTAGTCAAGTGCATATTATAAACTAAAGCACGTGGTTTAAGAGTAGCAAGTACAAGATAAATCTTTCAAAATTTTCCGACGTTTCCAGTGCTACTTGACTGAACAAATAAAAATAGACTTTTTCTAGACAGCAACTTGTTTTAGCAAAGATGTGTAATGTCCCGTGTTCCACCAATATACTGCCTGTATATAATGGTAGACGTTAAAAATAGAATTGACTTAGCGCTTTTGAAGTGTGTCTCATTTATTATTTATTTGTTCTTTGTTTGTTGATATTGTATGACATTAAAGATGGCAAGATGGCATGGGCGGCTAAACATTACTACGCACGCGCGACTCAATGTTCATAAATGAGGCTGCCACACATTCACTTTCACGCGTGCTTTTTTTAAACAAACATCTCATATAACTAAATTAATACAAAATCTAGCGTGTGCCTAATTTTGGTGAGCAGCACTCTCTCGCATAACTAACGGTTACTTTTTTTAATTTTTGCCATTTGAAATAACGAATACCACGAAATTTAGCCACATGCGCTGTTTTTTAATTATTTTTGAGGAAACAAAAATATGAAGGAAAACAAATTTGAATATTTTTCATTTCATTGCTACGTTACTAAGTTTCTGCGAAATCGTTCATGATAAGCCTCGCACCTTCTAATTAAGCCTTACACCATTACCATCTTACCTCATTCTTTACTCTCTCTTTCTGTTTACAAACAAAATTACAGTTTCTGCTTTATTCCACAGCGTGGGTGGTTCCATCCCCATCGTATTCACGTACTACGCCGAGTTCTTGTTGAAGAAACACCGCGGCCGCAACCTCTGCTGGTTGCTTCTCTTTTGGGCCATCGGTGGCGTCTTCACGTCAGTCATGGCCTGGGGACTCATACCCAGAACAGGTACATTACATCGCTACATCCGTACTGCTGTGAAGGCTATAAAACTATTTGAAGACTATATAAATTATCATAAGCAACAATAGCTTTTGCATTTTTTGGGGGGGAGAGGCCATCAAAACATCGGTGACTTTCTCGCTGCAATGTTAGAGACCATCACTCGCCGTAGCTGTTGTTCTACTTGACCCCAAACCGATGAAGCCAGTAACCATTTTAAAATAGGCGTACTCAGAAGTCATCGTAGATAAAAGCGGCAAAGGCATTCCTAAAATCCTTGATACACTTTCACCGGTGGTTATAGACCAATGGTGGTATTGCGACAGTGAGCACTACAACGCCGTTTAAGTGTATGCTCCCTAGCCCTCCTCCCTCCCTCCTTCTCTCTCTCCTCTCTCTCTCTCTCTGTCTATTTACTTCTAACTTGTAAACTCATTCATCCCTTTTCCCCGGTGTAGTGTTGCATACTAGTTTTTTTTTTTTAGACTGGTTATAACGCACCTGCCTCTCCTCTCTCTCTCTCTTGTTCTTCCCCATTAACCCTAACATAACCAGATGAGCCAGTTATCTCTAAAAGCGCAGGGAAGCCTTATACATTCACCCTATACCTCACGTCACAGTGATGCCGCGATCACCCGACGCATAGCGGACGAAGACCACCCGCTTTCCATTGATTTCCCAGCTCGTGTCTCGCGCGCGTGGTTTTCCTTTTGCTGTCAGTGCGGCAGTCGCTGTTGCATTATGGAGCCCACGTTCATGCCGACGGACCAGCGCCGAGACACCTATGTGAGGGCGTGTCTCTGCTGCAGGGGCCACTCTTCTCGGGCTGGGCAGGCTTCACTTCAGCAGCTGGCGCGTCTTTCTGCTGGTCTGCTCGTTCCCTGCCGTCGTCTCTGTGCTTGGTCTCGCCTTCCTCCCCGAGAGCCCCCGCTTCCTCCTCGAGGTCGGTCTGCCGTAATTGCCTTTTCTCTCTGTCCTTGCTCGACCTGCAATAATAAGCATGCCATCTACTCGTGGGTTCTCACTTGCTCTGCCATGTGCGCGCTCTTTGTGCAGCTGACTTGTTTTTGATGCCTCGCTTCACTTGTCTCTCAGCACGACCGAACTAGGTGCCGTAAAATCATGTACAAACCTGCATCATGTTGAATGTTCAATCACTTGAGCGGGAACCTCGATAATCTACTTTGCAGTAGCTTTTTTTTTTTATCCTGTCTAAGCGTTTTCCTTCTTACTTCGTAAAAGGAACATGTGTGAAGTGTGAAAGTAAGTGTACTTGCCTCCCCTACTAATATATCTGGAACATGGGGAGAAAAAAAAAACGGGGGAGTGGACAGTACCTTCATTGATTGGACATGCCTTGCAACCGCTTATACCAGGGGTCCCCAACTTGTGAGGGTGTTCTCAACCCCTGTAAGGTTGCTTGCACCTCGTGACGCACACGTGCCTAGCGGATAGGCCCCATTTAGGGCCGAGCAGTGGCTGGCGCAGTGCTCGAGCGGGTTAATCATCATCATCATCATCATCATCATCATCATCATCAGCGCGGTACCGCTAGCAGTACTGCGGCGGCGAGGGTACAATAAACCAAATTGGTTGCAAAAAAGTACTTGTTAAGCTGCCCTCCAATCATTCTCTATTTGTTTTCGTGGATTTAAGAGCGAAATGTGAATCATATTAGAAAGCAAGAACGAAAAGAGCGCAAAATCTTTCTTTAACTTGGATTTGGTATGAAGAAAAAAAAACTGCTTAATGTAGCGGGCATTACTACAAAAGCATAAAACATTTCTTCCGCAGACGATAGAAAACATTGATTCAATGATTAATATAATGTTATATCTGTTTCTTTTAGCAGTGCACAACACCAAGATATATTTCTGGGTGATGGATATTATGGAGTGTCCAAGAACATGATAAATTTTTATTTGGTTAAATTTTCATTTACTATGATATTACGTCTGAGTGGGCCCCAAGTACACGAATATTAGTGCGAGTTGTCTAGGAAAAAGCGAACTGCTGCAAGCCTTGCTGTCCAGATTCTATTGAGAAAAAAGCAAAGTCGTCAAAGTTCGGAGTGGCGTTGTGAAACGCTGCCATTTAAAGACGATGTCTGTTTCCGCAAGCGATGAAAAAAAGAACGAAAACTAGAAGAGTGCTTTAGACACATTACCGTGACAAGACGTTTACGTCGGCTATGGTTTGAGTGAGCCATATTTCTAATAACAGGGCGCAGCAAATTTCCTTAGCAATCCACTGCAAATGGAGACGTCAATTTATTTTTCCTTGGAAGACTCAAAGCTTGAGAAGAGAGTTCAGTTTTCTTTAATACTTTTACGCGTAGTCTTTGAGTTGAGCTATATTACCAGAAAGTGGAACGATGAGGCCATGTTATGAATGAAAAAAATTATTAATCTCAGAAAGAATTGCGGAGAAGCTGTGATATATATATATATATATATATATATATATATATATATATATATATATATATATATATATATATATATATATATATATATATATATATATATATATATATATATATATATATATATATATATATATATATATATATATATATATATTAGAGTCCTGTGCAGACATATCTGCCCATTTTTATCGCAGTGATTACTTCTAAATAAAAAGATGAGTTTGCCTTTTCAAACACTCTGAAAGGTTTAGGAAGATATTGCATTTCTTTAACTTCACTGCAATGACAAGTGTTTCGTGAGCTAAACCAAATAAGGGCGGCTAGCAAGACAAAACACATTGTAGCTTTGTTGTCATGAGTGCGCCAAGTGCAATGTAACAGAACACGGCCTTGTCGAGAATGACATTTGCGAATGTGAAGTGAGTCTTTTTCTACCAAATGTCACCTCCCTTTTCGTAAACGAATTCTACTCACTTAAGTCTTTTACGAAACCTCGAAATTACTCATAAATTCACGGGAACTATCTACTAATCTGTATAGCTCATGTTATAGTTGTTTTTGTTGTACAATTCTATTTTAAATGTTGCCTTGTTTTTTTTTTTTCAGATGGGCCGTGACGTTGAGGCCATGTGCGTTTACCAGCAAATATTTAAAATGAACCACAGCAACAAACCCGGAGTGGAATATCAGGTACGCTACACTCGTGTTCTTTACCTTCTTCTGTATTTCTTCAGAAATATGAAACGTACACGCTTATATCCACATTCACATTTATAAAATTAGCGTTACTGCCGACATTGACATTTATGAAATTAGTCGATTATTCCTTTTTTTTCTCTGTGTCAGATGTTTTTAAAGAGCATTATAATTCCTACTGGTATCACTGGACTCCAAGTGGTTTAACAGTCTACACCAACATTTGTTGAGACATCTTTTCTATGGAAACAGTTGCGTTTTTAGATATATTTCGTTTTCCTCCTTTCAGCTCTCCGAGCTGGAGCTTCCAGGTCGCAGAGCTTTCCACGGAATTCCTCCCGCTGTCAACAGAAGCATGATGTCTGACCTCTGTTTCTCGTTGGAAAGCGTAAGTGCTTGCAAAACCCTGTGATCTAGAAGTTAATAACTTCACTTTTTCACTTTCACTTTTTATTTCCTTAAAGGCCCCCTCAAGGAGGCTATTACATAAGGGGTGGGGTTACAATTGGGTGACATATATACATAAATATAATACACAATCATACATACAAACAATCATACGTAAACAATATATATATATATATATATATATATATATATATTTGTAAGTTATGCACATCAACAAGATATGCATATATTTAGTAGCCACATATAAACATAAGAGTAAATTAGTGCTTAAGATTCTCAGCAAGTGATGATGGGCAGGTGATATCAGCGATAGAACGGGGCAGGCCGTTCCACTCAGTCGATGAACGGCAGAAAAAGGAGGCCGAGAAGGTAGTAGTGCGGCTGCGTGGACGGGTTACTTGTAAGTGATGCCCAGTACGAAGAGAGAAGCGGGGGGGGGGGGGGGCAAGATGTTGTTTGATGAAGCGAGCTGTAATAGAACTTGTGAAAAAGGATTAGTGAATCAATGCGGCGCCGGGATGACAATGAATCTAGGCCGGATCGTGCCTTCAGTAGTGATACGCTTGTGTGATATGAGTACGACGAATGAATGCATCGTGAATGCATCGTGAATGAAGCAGACGCGAAAGGAAATATTAGTTAGAATGTGGAAATTTTGCGCGAGCTACCTCATCCTCAATCTGCAAAAGTGGCTCGTTATTTCTCATGCAGCAGTTTAATTTTTATCGGTTTTTATTTTCTCGCAAATCAATTGTTTTTCTGAGGGGGAGGGGGAGGTAACCACTTTTGTACACATGCAAAAGTTTTGAGTTTTCAGGAGGAACGAGGAAGGTTTGAACCCTCCTTTCTTACTCTAACTACTCCAGTGGTTCCTATGCCAGGAAATTCATGTCCATGTGATTTATTTTCTATTCTTGCGTTAGGTGACAACAGTCGAATCGAAAAAAACGAAATGCACACGCACGGCATGCATGGCAGCGCAACTCGACCTCCCTTCTCTCTCTCTCCCTCTTTCTATTTTAGGCGTTGGCATAGTCCGATCCTAACGCCCCTTCCTTTTTTGCTCCCGTAGTTGCACTGTAGTTTACCGCACATTACCATCTTGCATCTATTTTCACGTGTAGCACCTGCCTGCAGTAAAAGTTGCCGTTATTAGAGAAATACAGCATGAAAATATTAACTAGTAAACCAGTGTCACACAATGGCTAACACGCTGTCATCATTTTACTTTTCAGTTTTGGGGCTCGTTCTTCCAGATGATCTGCTCTCCATTCACCAAGGTCACTCTGGTTCTTCTTGTTATCTGGCTCACGACGTCATTTGGGTGGGTATTGCATCATCGGCTGTTTCGAAGTCCTGATAGCTGAAGGATGTCACAATCAGCGAAAGGCTGAAAGGTCGCCATTTCAGATTCTAAGCTGGCTGTGATATGGTTGATAAGGCGCGTCAGAACCTTCACTTGCGCCGGCTACTCCGCATCCCATTAAGCACTTTTGTAAAACACAAGAAACAAAAAAAAGATTCAATATGTAAAAAACAAAAGAGAAATTCCTAAACATTTTTTCATGTTCAGCAAAGTGGTCATATGCTGTTCCGTAAACAAGACAAAGCACACAAAGTCTGCTAGTCTGCGCATATCTAAATGAGAAAACCCATGACCGAAATAGGCAACACCATTGTATGTCTCGCATATATGATGTACAATTTATATGCAAAGTAGACGTTTAAAATTGGTCCCGCGAATGCTTAGTATCTGCGTAATATTCGTGCACGTTCCACGAGGATGTTAAATGCCATAATTTTTGTACCTCCTCTGCTGCTCACGATTCAAGCGTGCTTTTTATAGTGAATAGACGACGGTGTAATAGTCCCTCATATTTCATGTCCTTAACAAACCCGAACGAATGCAGCGACACCCGTTCCCAAGGATGATAGATGTATAGTTCGCCTTGGTTTGGAGCTGGGCTAGTTGGTGACCGATCACTACACCGTATGGCTAAGTAGTGCACTTTTCACAGAGACGACGGGGACGTGACACTCGCACCCTGTAAAATGCACACTACTTCGCCATACGGTATGAAGATCTTTAGTGTCATTTCCTGGCGTACACAACGCCTGTGCGATCGCAGGTTCTACGGCGTGGGCATCTGGTTTCCGGAGTACCTGCGCAAGATCCAGGCGGACAGCTACAGCGCCGACGCCACTATCGAGGCGAACCACTTCATCCGCGACTACGTGTTCAACTACTCACTCGACAACACCAACTTCGAAGGATGCGTATTTCACAATGTCCGCTTCACGGGCATCGTGCTCAACCACGTGCTCTTCACCAACTGTTCCTTCATTAACAGGTGCGTACCAGGCAGAGGGGAGCCCCTTCCCCTAATAAAAAGCTTTATGTGCTAACTATTGCAAGTACGTTGATTTTCTACCATTCAGTATAGTTATCTCACCCTGTGTGAGCATCATTCAAAAACAACAAAAGTTGTACTTGGCATGCTTCAGTAACTTCTCTCACATTAATCTCTTCGTGTACTCGTTTTTTTTTTTCGTGTACACCAAGCCGGCGTGCTTTCGATTAGACTCCTCGCCTTTTTTTTTTCGTTCTCAATATCTATTTTCGTTAATCAATTGATCAGATCAATATACTACGCTTTCTAAATGGCGTACCAGTATCGCGCTGAACAGCATTAAGTCACCCTTCTAAATAGAGATTACTTTTTGTTTTCTACGCTTCCAGCACGTTCAGCGATGTTCGTTCGAGCCGCAGCTTCTTTGAGCACTGCGACTTTCCGGCGCGTGCGCTTCGTGGACACGGACTTCTACGACTTCCGCTTCCGCGACTGCGCCTTCACAACAGCACCACGTTCCTGAACCGGCGCACGGGCTGTCCCATCGACTTCGACGTCAACTTCCGCCTCTCGGACGTGTTCGTCGAAAACCTGTTCGCACAGCTGGCCATCAGTTCCGGGAAACATCATCTCCTCCTGCATCATCGACAGGATTGGTCGCGTACGCACCTTAGGTATGAGACAGGGCGTTCTCTAGGATATCGGTGAGAGCCAGTGATGGGAATCGGCAGAATTTTGTTTTGAAAGAAAAAAAAACACCAAGCCTGCGCGGAAGGCACAGCACAGTCACAGCGAAGGCCTTTCAGAGTTGAAAAATTGAATTGCTACACAAACTCGAAGGAAAACAAGGGAGACAGGAAAGAGTGCAAGTTTCAAGTCCTTCAAGTTTGTGCAGCAATTCAATTTTTCAAGTATGAACCAACTAGTCTGCAAAAAAAGTATTGCCTTTCAGAGCCTTTTCTAAACACTCATTGGGTAACTGCAGCAAGTGCACTTTCTGAGTACCAACTAATAATAAATTACTACTAATAATTTCTGGGTAGTAGGCCGGCAGTTCGCTATTCTTTCGTGAATCTTCTGAGAAGCGTGGTATCCGCTAATTACTTGCAAAGAATTTTGTGCCAATTGTTCGTGCAGTGGCTGACCACGATGATGAATCATGCCTGAAGTGGGCATGCGCCACATTTAATAGGTGATCGAGAACAAGCTTTTTTTGTAATGGGCTGGAGCACTGGTGGACCCACTCGTTATGCTAATCGTATTGTAGGACGCCTGGTTGTTTTTTTTTTGCTCTTCTAAACCACTTTATTATTCTATATTACCGGGATTCCTTTTCCGACATCACGCCTGCCTAAGGCAAACTTGCGAATAAGTCCCAATCACCGGCATGACTCAGTGATGGAATACTGGGCTGGCACGCAACGTACCCGGGTTCGAGCTTCACTGTGTCGTCCTTAGTACAAAGTTTTCTTTTTATTTAGTGCAACATTGGTTACGTACACCGGCGGTGGTGGTGGTGATGGACAACTACAGCGCTGCGCGTCGCATGAGTTTTGATCTCGTAACAGCTTTCGCTGTAAAACGACGGGGGAGAAGGGGAGGCAAGCCTATGTTTCATCACGGCAAAAGGGAGGCGTTTCATGGATAGGGCAAAGGGGAGGAAGCGCTCGGTGTGCATATGGTGAGGATGGGTGGGAGGACAAGTGTACTTTTGCACACCCCATCCCGCAGACGCATATTGTGTATTAGGCAGAATATTTAGTTACTGAACGCGTCACAGGCGATCGCTTACTTTTTCACGCGAGTTTTTTTTTTCTAACTCGCTCTTTTTCACGTGACTAATTCGTAACTGCAAATTACATTTTTACAGCTATATAAGCGCAGTTAGGTTACATATACCCAATACCGGCATTTTGCTGATGACAAGAAAAACAAAACAGGCCCCTAACAATGATACGTCTTATCGCGTAAACGCGATGTTATCACTTTATTACTAGCCTACACCGAAACAAGGTTAGCCGTTAGTGATATATTAATGAATAATTTACAGTGCTGCAAATATAGGCCCTATCACGTCATCGATGATAACTGTAACTGTAACTTTTAACGGTGACAAGATTACTTTGCTTCTCTAGGTAGCTGTAGCTGACATTGTTACTTTTGACTGGTGAGGTGTCCGTGACTGCCAGCCACCGATTGCCGAAAATGTTCTATGGTTTTCTGAAACGATATCAACATTGACAGACTTGAATCAATAGCGGGGCATAGTAATGCCTGGTACAACAAGCAACCAGTACAACTTTAGGTACTAGGTCAATACTTAGAAGTCTCGCATACAATAATCGTTCAAGCACGTGCAACCTGTTCGTTGAAGAAAACTGTACCCCCAGTGGTGCTGTAGGGGACACGCTGTCATGTAGTGGGCGTCTATCAACAATGGACATGCCAACTGCTGACTGTACTTCTTCTGAGAGTGATAACCAGTACAATTATAGATGCAATGGTGCTCAGCTATTTCAGAGCGACGCACATCCCACGTGACCATCCATTGCTTTTAAGGGCGAAGTTCCTTAGGACCTAGCCCTCTCTTCCGTTTTGGTCCCGGTACAGAACTGTTGCTGTACTCGAAACATGTGTGAGACACAAAGCGAGGTTTTACCGTAGACTTCAACGCGAACATAGGGTAATTAGGAGGTTGGAATTTACTGTTCCCGGCGAAAATGATCTGTCGAGAGGAGTTCTGATGAATACATCTTGGCTAAAGTGTTCCTAGATGCTGAAGTTTCTTAAGAAAACAAATTACCCCCTTCAATATGGCATCTTTTCACCGGTAAGATGGTGGGTTCTTGGATTAACTTTTTCAACATATGCTCCACTCCAGCCATTTATAAATTCTCCTTGAATTGCCTAAGGTGACTGGAAGGCGAAGTAAACTTACATTTCTACATACACTTCGTGCAACTCAGTTTACATTATATGAGGCAACCCTGTGGTAACAGTAGGTTACTTATGGATACGAAACCCACAGAGCTTCGCCCACTCACCATAATTCACCTCGCATTGATGCGTGGATTGTTTGTGCCACCGACCGCTGCCAGTAAAGTCGAGGCTTTTGTGAGCTTTCGTGATTGCATGGGACCGCATTTCCACCTTCAGCAAACCCACAAGCTCACTGGCTGCTACGCTTCTCCTGTTGCATAACTGCGTAAGGTGAAGCATGCTTTGCCATACAAGTTTGTAGTATATATTTTTTTTCTTTGGAGGCAAAGTACGGCCTGAAGAATTTCAAGGTTTGGTATTGGTATTACATGCATCACTAGTAGATTATAACTGATTCGATTGACCGCAGTGCACTAGTTACTACTCTGAGACATGACGTACGCTCATTCCTAGTTTTCGAACACCGTCATGAAAGTCGGCTCCTCTGTTACACCTAACTCTGCAGTGGCACACAACTCACAAACGTCACAAGTTTAGTGCCTTGATACGAAAACACCACTGGTGTCTTGAAAAAGAGACGTGTTGCCCGTTCTTAAAATTACTCTTAAATTATCACGTTTCAGTAACCAACGTTACTAGAATCGAGTAACGTTGTCAGCAACTACTGTTGTAGCTTCTCCTGAGGCATTGTTGCTTAAGGTGAAGCACGCTTTACAAAACCACCTTTTTTGGTTTTGATAGCTTTTTTTTTTTTGTTTCACAGGTTTGTAAACGCAAAATGTAGTGAGATTTTTGGTTACAATAAGCTACGGCTGGTGCGTAGTAATACGAAAATTTCTTATCTTGGTACCACGGGTATTTCAAGCAGGAAACCACGCAAATGCGTGTGGAATTGAAAAGTGCAGGAATGTGCCACATTACGACAAACACAAATAATCCGCTTTTGTTAGAATATAAGTGCTCGCTGATGTCTTGTAATAAAGCCACGCTTAGATGATTTAATTTTTTTTCAATGAGTGGGCTATTAGTTGCGGTAACACCCCATTAAAGTTAGACAACTTAAAGGGCACTAGAAGCATTTGAAAGCACTACATGTGTTCTCTTTTTTCCAATTCAACTTATATTTTCGAAAAGGAGGGCGACTGTCGTATTTCGCCTAGCGATTACACATGTCATACGTCACCACATGTCTAGTGGTAACATTCGAGGAGAGAGATTGAAAAATACACTTTACGATGCCGTGACGACTTGCAGAACTGCTTGCTTGGGGATGCTTAGACTCGAGTTCTTGCAAATGCACAGGACCACATGAGCTGTTCACTACATAAAAATTTAAAGAAAATCACGTGCAGAGACACTGTTTGTAAAAAGAATAACTGGCAGCCATCTGTATGTGGCACGAAGCAACAATGAAATTCATACATATTTCTCAGAAATTAAGCTTTTTAGATGAAAAAAAATGCCCTGATGTAGGCAGCGAGCCTGGGACCAACGTCCTTCAAGGGCAGTCACTCTACCCAATCAGGAAACTAGGTTGATTGCATTCGGCAGCGCGAGAGTGATTTTTTTTGATAACTCGAAGCATATGAACTCAAAATATTGCAAATAAATGCTGCTGCTGTATAAATAAGGTGGTGGACGCGGGCTAACCCCGTCCCCCACTTTGCGCGACATATAATGTATTTATTGTTTCCAATTCAGAAAGCAATAAGGGAAACGAATGATAAAACAACGTCGAGCAGTTGTTTCTTCTTGGGATACTTTTGTATTCGTCTATCACTTGCAGACCTGCCGCCTAACTCGCACTGTCACTGTGTCAGCTCTTTCCCGTTGCAGGGATATCTCTGTTTCTTTCAAGTGCAAGCATTTTGCTCGTGTGGCTGTCAGTGGCACGCTCCTCTGTGATAACATTCCAAGCCATCTTCAACTTTGTGTCCATTTCTGCGTGGAACGCCGTAGATGTCGCCACTACAGAGTCTTATCCAGCGACACTCAGGCAAGAATTTTCATCAGTCGATGTCCTTCCGTACTCTTAGCAATGCGAACACGCCAGTTTTTTTTTTTATGGCGAAACCGTATCATTGGTCCTTTACTCTTCACAAGCCAATCTTGTGACACTTCGTTTGATGTCTCGTTGAACATTGCAACGGGTCTTGGAACTTTCTTTGGGATCGTTAGTTCCCTGGTTCCTTTCTGCACCAGCTTATCATCCACATCACAACAATCGCCTTTATTATTTCTTGACTTTTTCCTTGGGCCTCCCAGGTGGTGTAACATCGCACCACATGTCACGTTGGACTCGTTAGAGACTTTCGTCACGTTTCACAAGTCCCGCTGAAATATGTATCGATGAGATCGTAACCATATGGGTGGTAGACACTATTTACGATTTAGTAATTGATGACTTTCGTGAAGTAAACGAGCTTTGCTGAACAAACGAAAATATTCGCCTAGCTTACCGACTGGCGTGCTAATCCGGCTGCTGGGGAACTCCTATAATGAGTTTGCGAAACAAACTGAATATATATAAACACAGGACTCTCGGCTTGACAAAAGGCGACAGATGAATAGGAAAAGAAAGTTCATCAGTTTCAATTATAGACAGTTTTGCTATTTGTAAACAAAACAGTGTGCACCTGAACAGCGCACGAATTCCTGTATTTCGCGAATCTTTGCAGCATGCCACGCCAGCTCCGTCCGCGTTCAGGAGCCCATGTGAATGTGTGATTAAATATGAACAGGAAGAGTTTCGTGGCCTTCTTTGTATTTTCCTTTGTTTTGTCCTCATCCTTCCGGCTTATTTGTCGGACATTGGCAATGTACTGGCACTGAAATATTCGTTTTTTTTTCTCTCTAATGAAGTCTAATGCGCCGTCCATTTGCAGAAGCACGGCGTACGGCTTCCTGAGCGCGGCCAGCCGATTGGCGGCCCTTCTGGGCAGCTTGACCTTCGGCCACTTCATCAGCATGAGCCGTTCAGTGCCCATTGTGACAACCGCCGCCGTGCTGCTGGTCGGTTGCCTGGCATCGTTGCGCTTGCCCGAGACCAGGGACGTGCTCATGTGAGCGCCCTGCCGCAGCTTTCCAAGACCGTGCTGGGCCTCCGCCCACGATGATGAGAAGTCAAAGTATGCGCCCACAGCACCTCCCAAGAGAGCTCTGCAACCGACAAGCCACGTCCACCGACCGTGCGAGCGACACACGAACCTGGTTTACGACCTGTCCAGGAGGGATGCTTGTGTGGTCTAGTCGGCATACCCGAAGAGAACGCGCATCTAGCACATGCGACTACAGTACCACCGCAGAGATACGAATCGTCGGGAAAAGCGCGTTCAGTTATATTTCTTTCGTACAGTTATTTATTGGTTTCTCCGATCCTATCTGCGCGGACCCTATTAGCTGACTCATTATCGCGTCGCTCCGGTTCATTGTCGGACTGCATGCAGACCTTCCCAACACAGAGAGTGGGATACCAAACGAACGTTCCCCGAGCACGAGGAAGCTACTGCCTGGCTCCGAGACCGAGTGCTTTTCAGGGGTGACTGCATGATGAAGCTCTCGCCATGTAAGGCTCGGTATCACGTGGTTGTAGAAACCATGTGTAGTGGTCGACTCTGTACTCTGATGAGGGGCTCTTTAATTATAGAGTGATTGAAACTGTGATTCTCGGGCCGTCAGGCAGACCTTAAGCTGAGATGATAACCGAGCGTAAAATGTGAGATGCAATGCTATAGTCAGTTGGTTGCGTTCCTACACTGCTGCAAGGTGATCGGAAGCCGCGCCTTTCGTCACGTGACGAACCGCAGTGGGGACTGCGCAGCAGAATACAGCGTGCACAGTTGTCAGCTAGTACCGAAAGCACTCCAATTTGAGGCTAAAGCGACACCATCGTCATACCGTGATCGTTGAACGCTTTCTGGGGGACCTGGCCGGTTTGTTCTCCTGCGGTGTGTTTCATGCAGAGCTTGGCCCCGAGTGGTAGGCATACTACTTACATACGCGTTAGTGGAGAAACACACTCACAGAATTACACAGCGCTCCCACGATTCTTTCGAAAAAGCAGGCTATCAGATTTTCGCATGAAAGAGCCTTTCTTCTTACTCTTTCATTTTTTTATGTCCACGCTGTTACCATTGAGCTACTGACTTCGTATCCTGGAGGCGTAAATGTAGTGCACAACGGCCCCAGCGTACGAAGCGATTGTCAGGCTCACTGTGGGAAACTGTCAGCTTTTTACACTTTCAGGTATGTATAGCGCAATAAGAATCAGTTTGGAAGATTACGAAGACTTTTTTTTTCTTTACTAATTGCGAATGAGCGTACACTGTGGCAACACTTTGGGGTGAACAGCATATCCACACGAATAATGAACCTTATATAGCGTTGAAAACAATCTAACAATGCAGGCCTTGATGTTGGCAGATACGTCACCGTGGGAATTAAGCCCAGCAACACTTTTCCAATGATCTGTCTTGTGGCTTCATTAAAGAAGATCATTGCCTAACGAACCAACTGCTTAAAAAAATTGTCAAGTACAAACGGAGTTTCAAGGATTGCCGCACGCTTGAAGCGCTTTCTCACTCCTTTTGTGCAATTGAACTCGCTGAACGCTACGCAGTGGTAGGAGTCGGTGACGAGGGAGCAAAAAACGTCCGTTCGTCAGCACACGTGACAAGTTGTGACCTTGAGCACTTTATTTTTTTTCCCTCCAAATGCATGTATACGCTCAGAATGACCGCAAGAGAATAAAACGTTTATTAGCGTTGATTGGTGAGTGGGATCCTTAGTCCGGAATCTCATCGGCGCGGGCCGCTGTCCTTTCACTTTTCACGAGGGCCTCAGCAAGCACGCGGATACGTGGCGGCATCCCGTGGAGGCCGCGGTAACTATGCAATTCACCATGCTCAAATTAGTCTCTGGTCACCTTGTATCTATGGCATCACTTATCAAGAGAAAAGCAAGCGATTTCTAGCTGGCTTTGAGAACTAAGCGTAAATTCCAGGTCGCGTGCTGCGCTATAATGTTTGTCTGGTGTGTTCTCAAGAGCCTCGAATACAGATCAGCAGTGTTTGCTGACTATGCTAAAGAAAAACTCTTCTAATCGAACGATCGCCCAAACAATTCAAGCACCCTGAAAAAAAAATGCAGTCGACCGGAACGAAAATGAAGTGCACCCGGCAATTTAAAGGGGTACTGACTCAAAATTTCGTGGCCGAGATAACCTGCGGGATCAATTCCCGTGAACATGAATATTTCATCTGCAAAATATAAAAGCGAATACAGTTTGGAAGGCATCTTAAAATTTGAATTTTGCATCACTTCGCTGCAGCAAGTTATGACGCCGTCATAGGCGCAAGAGTTGAGAACGATTAGTGTTTAATGACATTGCTGTCTAGGTTCCTGTTAAAAAAAAACTAATATTGTTGCGAACCACGCGAAAATGCGTCACGTACAGTTCTTGTGCTGACATGGTCGAGCGTTTCACCCTCCAGGTAGTGGTAGTTGTACCCGGTGGCTAGAGTTACTGTATATGCTACCTTTAGGTAGCATATACAGTAACTCTACTGGTGGCCAGAGCTACTGTGGCTTGTCGGTTTTGTAACCGAAACTGGTCTGTAATAACCAGCATGTAATTATCTGTCACACACTGCAGAGAACAGGCCCCCCAAAACATATTGCAGCAAAAAAAAAAAAAAAAAGAAACGCGAGGCCAAAATGCTTGTGGTTGTACCCCTGTAGTGTATTATATATTATTGCCATTTCATTTATTTAATTCTAAGTCGCCTAACATTCAAGTAACATTTTAAATTTTCAACTTCGTATGCTCGACCAATCTCCCAGAGGGGGTACGTACTCCCTTTGGGGGATTGGTCGAGCATACGAAGCAAATTTAAAGTGCCCCTCGAGAGGCCCAATGGCCAAGTTTGGATAATCACTGCACGCGAGTGACAAGGCGTTTCATAAGTTGCAGACACGAGCGGTACCGAGTGATCAGCAAGCCACACTTGCTTGTATACAATTCCAGAACCTGGCAATGCACCAAGTGGCAGCACCAAGATGCACGAAATTTGCATGATCACCAGAATGAACCATTAGGTGTGCCATGCTTACTGATATAATCATGCCACTACTATGGCATAAGAGAACTTATATCTTGAAGAGAGGGAATAGGGTGTAATGGCTCCAACTGCTCCACCCCAACTCCATCCACCCCGTGGATATATAGGCCAACAGTAAAAACAAACCACAACAAAAAACAGACTTATTCTCTTGCAAGGAGGAGCATTTAGGAATGACACTGCTTTATGTAATTTGCCACATAACACATTGCCCCCCCCCCCCTTTTTTTAAAAGAGAGCATTGTGGCGAAAATTGCAAGGCACAGAAAAAAAAGCACTCCTCTTTTTTTTTAATTTAGGCCTTTCTGCTTTAGGGATGCACTAGCTGCTTATTCCCTGAACAATAAAATCAGCCATGGAACCATTGTACCATTACATGCAGCGAAAGGAGTCCGTGTAGCATGTTCACTTTCTCACTCACCCTTACGTGATGCCACTGAGCACGCTCATATTATCAATCACCTTATTTTTCATGAAAGTACGCTGATGACCTTGTAATGTCGCTCTTGTTAAGGTCGCATTCACTTAAATGACAGGGAAGCTCAGCTGGTTACAGGGCTGTATCACTCATGAAGGGTGGATCTGTGGTCGCTATATGGGATGATGACTGCGCTGAGATCAGCCCATTCCCCATATAGTGTAATGTACACTCAGCTGCACTGTATTAATGTTGGTGGCAGCTGAACTATAACACACCTGCCACGATGTCTTTGAGCAACTCAACAGCAAGTGAACTTAAGAATGAATGACTCAATGAGTGCAATATTTGCTTGTTAATACAAGCCTGCTAAAGATAAGTTTCTACAGGCACGTCTTGATACGCGCCCTACGTAAACAAGTGATACAATTAAGTGGCATGACTTCTGTAAAATACATGCACCAGCAACACAATCCATGTTGGGGCATGTCTTTGAGAAGCGTTTGTGATGCGAATACAATGCAAGTCAGAGGAAAAAGGGTGTTGTGTATGTTGCTCAGAGATGACTGCGCACTACATTGCCTTTGCAACAGATCTGAGAGACACTACTGTACAAACTCGCACTGTTTGTGGATACAAAATGAATAAGCAAATGTGGTATGTTAAGATCTCCAATGCTATTAGGCTACCACTAGTCACAAAGTGCTGAATTAAACTATTTACAAAAAGAATAAGATAATGGCTAGGCAAACAAAAAGCCAAGCGTGTAGCCCCAGTACCTAATGGAAAATGCTGCGTTGATGTAAAATAAGACCACATATCCTCGAAGGAAGTTACATATCAAAGTGACATATATGTGATGCCGTATGAACCATGTCCTGCCCGTGTGAGGCCCGGTTAGCAGGCTACTGATCTTAATTTGCCCCTGAGAACCTCATTTCAGTTGTCTATATACCTTGTTAGCAGTTAGGTCACATTAAAGTGAAAGGCACAGCGAGTACCAGCCACTCATGTGCATGTTTATGTGAAAGCACACGATTCTGCTTTGTTGATCTTCTTACATCGCAATGACAGTTTTTACAAATCTTTGGCACAGCTTGAATTCGCTAACAGAAGGCGACGTTTTGCCAAGTCTGGTGAAAATAAGGACTGAATATCCCAAAAACTTGACAGCCTTCCAGAATTAACGCTTACAAATCATTTCTGCCGAATACTACACCCCATTGGACTTGCCACTCAATGGAATTCCTCTTACAGGTGTGCCTCCCAACCACAACAATCCTCCCCTCAGTAGAAGCTGTCATCAATGTTTACGACAGCAATAAATCTGTGTATGGCAATATCAGCTGTAATGTCATCGTAAACACTACTGTTGAATATGAAAGTTGTTGAAATGCTGTCATCTCTCACAGATTTAAATGTGCGGATACATGTGGTTCAAATGTTTGCTTTACAGCCGTGTGACCCTTCATCCTTCTTACTCTGTCTGTCCCTGCTCACTAACGAGCATAGTCACATTTCTTGTCAAAAGATTGGCTGTTGGTAATAGGCAACTATGCAGAAGACGATCAGGAAAAAACAAACCCAAATTGATGGCCCACATGGACTGCTGCAGGCATACTGATTTCTAGAGATCTTTTCGTCAACTGATAAGGCGTGTGTACCTGTTAATAACGATGTGCAGTAACAAGTTTCTGCTTTATCGTATTGCTGTTGAAAATAGGAACTACAGTGTACTCTAACGCAAGCACAGGTTGAGATAGCCACGACAATACCGTCATCAAAAATATCTGCTCCAATCAAGTCGCTCATGCAGAGTTATGCAGCACAAGTAAAACTTAAGCATATGCAGTTTTAACATTAATATTTTAATGGTGCTGACAGAATGATCATCAGATTTGACAGTTGAGCTATGAAACTTGGTAGAGCACGATTCACAAGCTACACAAACGGTATTCCACTTTTCGAACCCCGTACGCCATATTATTGGATTAAAAGAAGCAAGCAGTAACAGAAATGGCTCTGGCTCACATTTGGCATTTGAGTCTGCGTGTGCTTAACGCTTTGATATTCCTAATCAAGCACTTGGAAGGCTACACTACATTTCTGCGAACGAGTTACATAGGTGACAAACATGACAAAAATCTCCATTTTAGAGAGCATCTCCATGTGAAGAGTATCACCATGAATTAACCTCACAGCAAATGACAGTTAGCATCGCATATAGGTAAAACATAGCGTACCCAGAATGAAAGTAGAAAATAAGGTCAGCAAAACACATTATTGAGCTATTTTTCTGCATTCATATGATATTCTTTTAGTCACTGTCCAGCATAACTTCTACTGCTTTGAAGAAGGTAATACATATTGAAGGATGTCTTAAACACATTACTTGGACTTCTGTTCCTGCTTTGGAGTGTTGTGCAGAATCTCGCCAAAGGACTGCTCATTCTACGTAGTGTGCAATGCTATTTCAATCCCACAGGATAGACCCGTTTGCTTTCACAGATCGGTCCTGTGTGCAAATGCTTTGTCTCCTGCGTGTACATAAGACACATATATTTTCATGCGTTGACTGCGCCTGTTGTTTGAGCTGTTGATGCACGGAGACGAAGCCGAATGACATCATTCCACGTCTGACATCATTCCCATCACTACTATACATTTCTGGCCACATTGTGCAAGTTCTAATGTGATTAATTACTAGAACGAAAACGCAAGACAGGTAACCACATGGTGTCATTATTCTGCGTCTGTCTGGTCTCTTCTGGTTGTCCTGGTTCGTGATGCAAACTTGTTGAGTAGTTCTTAGTCGGTTCCTGTGCCATGTTTAGCGACTGTTGCTGTAATATATAGTTTCCATAACTGCAACGTTGTCTTTGCATGTGAAGGAAGAGGCAAGATGAAAAACTACAAGAATCACGCACATCTTTACGAACTCATACTGCACTGTGTATACGTACGTCCGTACATATCTTGGTGTACATGGTTAGTGTATTAAAAAAATGGCTGCATATTATTTAGAACAGATATGGCCGAGTTTGTCTCATTTCCTCTTCTCCAGGCAACGCTCATTTTCCGGAGCAGAAAGCGGGTTTGCGATTTTCCAGAGTAATTTGGTATAGATACTAATATAAAATTTAAGGTCTTGTTTCATGTAGTCTTTCTGTCTGACCTGCCAAACTTGCTACAGCGTTTATCAATGTCCAATTTGCAGAGTCCAT